TTCAATACGGTGCTTGATAAAAACAAGAATAAAGGGCTTTTTTACTTTAAAAAGAAGAAAACTTGTATCATAAAAAAAATCTTTAAATTATAGTTTCTCTTTTCTGTTCCAATTTAAATTGTTACATGGTTGCTAAATTAGTGCTGTAATCTCCGCTTACAAATTGCAGAATTATTTTTAAGAATAGATGTAATTTTACTGCCGGGATCAACCTTACACTTTAAACCGTATGTGCTGGAGGTAGCTGCTCTTGCACAGCTTTCAAACAACCACGCTCATGTGTGCACACACGGTGAGGTTTACAATACCGGTCACGCTGAAGCCGATAGCAGTTTTACCAGAGATTTCAATGAGCACAGACTGAGTTAACACTGACATTTCAGAATGACCTGCAAATTTAAGCTTTCCCAGGATGCTCCATGGCACCAGTGGCTCTAGTTGTACCATTTCCTAAAACATCAGCATTTCTCTTGTGTTCTGGTCTGAGCTATCTTCTCCTACTGAACTACAGCCTTTGATAGGCCAGAAAATTAGAAGCTAGTAAGAGAGAGAAACCTTGAAGATATGGTTGGGTTTTTTTTCCTCACAAAACAAATAATTGGGGAAAAAAAGCAGAGCACTACGATCCCGAGTTTAAAGCTGGGGAATGGCAGTGATCAATTGTGACTTCATGCACAATTCTTCCCCCGTTCAAGCACTTCCACAGCTTTAGTACTATGGAAAGATGAACCTCACCCTGCAAAATCCAAAGGGGTCTTTGGGGTAGGGTTTAAGGTCATGTCCTTAATATCTCGCAGCGCAAAGCAGAAACAGGAAACCTCAATTCCTGGGTCTCCATAGGGTACTGCAGAGCATACCTACCATCTTCCCCAACTCTAGCTTGACAGACAGACATGAAACAGTTTCTTACCTCTCCTTCAATTCCTCATCATTTCTAGCCCACCACTTCTCTGAACCCTTTCATCTGACTCTGGCTATTTCTGCTTTGCTTGGTTAGTTATTTCTGCTTTCTCATCCCCTTCCCCATCACACCATCGTCCTTCCCTTAGGGCCCAGTGGTGGGTCACATTGACTTGGACACAACAGAAGAAACGCTCAGGGGCCAGGAGCATCTGCAAGATCTTGCTGCTTTCTGCGCTAACTGCAGGTGCTCAGCACCTCTCAGCCTCAGAGAGTTTATCTCCAACTGCCAACCACCGGACTGCCAGGAAAGGGAGTAAAGAATGGAGGAAAATTTCTACGTCCCGGAGAAAGTCATCAGGACATCAAAGAACATCCCATTCACAAAACAGCAGCATCACTCTTGCCAAACCGGTGCGTCTGGTTAACCTTGCGTTCAGTCCTTATGATAATATGGTATTTGGAAAGCAGACAGCTGGCACTGCTCTAACATGTTGCTCTTCAATCTTTTATAACAATGGTTCCACTGATACTACTCTTAACCTTTTCTCCGCACTGAGCCCAAGTGCTAAAATCTCTTCCACTACTTAGAGGAAGCAAACCAAATGTTTTTTGTCAGTCATTTGCCCTGTAAGGGAGGGGAGAAGTATACTGATAACATACTGCAGACACAGCATTCATCACGTGTACAGCAATACGCTGGTTACACTGGAAACCCTATCGTGATATTTCAGATGTTACTTGACTGTCGTAATGACTAGGAGACATCTGTCTCCTATTTACACTTTATTTTTTACAGTTGCTTTTAGTTCAGCAGAAGCGTCTTAATGGAGAAGACTGGTACTCTTTTATAAATAACATTAATAATGAAAGAATCCTCGGATGCAGAGCAAAACCAGCACACACATTGGTAACAGAACTCTGCAATCATAAGATGTAACAGGAAATGATAGTGACTGGCTTTTGCGTGGGGGGATTTTTGTGTGAAAGAAATTAACTCCGGTACTCAAATTTCCATTAGGAAAAATATTTTTTAAACAGGTGATTGATCTCCTTACATGTTAATTCAGACTTTTGGGGAATTTCATCTTAACTGGGTCACTGATAAATAAAACCAGAAACAAAAACAAAAAAACAGCCCTTCTGCAGGCTATTTAGGCTTGGTATTGACTAACAAGTAATCAAATACAGCTCTTCACAGTAATCTTAATTATGGCTTCACTCCACCACAACTAAGAAAAGTCACATAATAAACTGAGAAGATTAGCCAATTCTAACTGTTGAAAAATGTGTATTTTTATTTTTGCGCATAGTTTTTATGCACATAGGGCCACAAGTCACACAAGGGAATTATTAAAAAAATCAAAGAATTAATGAATTTATATACCACAACCAGGCAAATATTACAGTTAATTGTCTTTATATAAATGAAGCAGCTTGGCCTAATGGCTTGCATAATAGGTCAAGAGTTTTGGACTTGGGGAAATGGGGATGTGTGCTAGAAATCAGTATGAATTAGGTAGACCAGTAAACAAGCTTCATTGAATTACTCAAATTTATACCAGCTGAGAATCCTGTTTTCTCAGCTGGCCACAGCCATGGATTAGCTGTGCAATCTTAGCCTAGTCACACAGGCTCCACCTTTCATGGGAATTCAGGTCCACAGGAATCTGAGTCTGGGTTCTTCAGTCCCATTGATTTCCTACAGAACTAGGGCTCCAAGTGTCCGAGTTATTTTCTGATAATGGGACTTGGGAAAGCTCCAAAAAAAAAAAAATCAGAGGCCACAATTCAGCAAAATCCTTAAGCACAGGCTAGATTTTAAGCAGGTCATTAACTCTCATTGAGTTCAGTATGACCACATCACACATCTGAAGGCAAAAACATTCAGATTGTGCCGCAGCAATTTAAGGGCCCCCAATCCATTTGCAAGAACAACTTACAAGCCTAGCTCAGGCCCTTGGTGTACTTCGGCACTCATCATCCTACTGAAGCCAACGAAGACCTCATTTCATTGAAAAAAAAAATCAATGAGACATACGCTCTACGACACAAATTCCTCAGGCCTAAGGCCAATAGCATGGCAGGCGCCTAGATCCCTTGTAGATCTGGCTTTCGGCACAGCAGAGTCCTGAGCTTTCTGAAGGGTATCGAGACTTAGGCTTCCAATACTTGTTTCTTCCACATTTAGGAGTTTAATGTATGTTTGGGTGTTTTGGTTTTTTTTTTTTTTTCTTCTTCTTCTTTGCTGCATCAGATTGCCAGATTCCTGCTTTCCATTTCCCACTTGTGGTACCAGCTGTCCAGCTACACATACGTAGCCCCACCAGCATCGCCATCCTTTCTCCTGCATGTGCAGCAGCAGATGGATCCAGATGTGTTTTGGGTTAAGTCCATAACCAGGTTTTTGTGGACTGCATGGATAAACATTTAAAGGCCCCTTCTGGTTATATAAAAGAAAGCTATTAAACGTTTACTCTTTCCTCTGTACTCAGCTGCAAAGCCATATCACAGAACGTACAAACACAGATGCAACCAGGCAATTATCGTTCCTTTATCCCTTAAATAGATAGAAGATAAATTTGAAAGAAAATGAGGAACAGAATCCTTCTCCCTTTCCTTTTTTATCCTTTTATCTCCCAATGTAGGAAGTTTACTGAACCCTTGCCAACAATTCACTCAGGCTAATGAAGTGTATAAGTAATGGGATTAAATAATCTTAAACCATTACTACAGTGGCTAATGCAGATGTTTTCCCAAACTAAAGCAGATGAGTGGTGAAGAATGCGTGCTTGATTTAAAAAAGAGGAAAAGAAAGTATCAATCTTCAAGCAGATGAAGTCAATTCCAGCCTGAAGTCAATGAAATGTTTAATTCCAGTTACATAAAGTTGCTCCAATCATATTATGAATATACCTTCTAAAGTCTGCAGTGCTTTGCACATGGTCAAACCTGCCATGAAATTAACCTTAAATTTTTTATGGGGCAATCATTTTAGTGCAAACAAAAATGGAAGCTGTTTAAAACATACATATTCCATCAAAAGATCATTTAGTTTTTAAAAGCCAATTAACAAGGCCCATATATCACTGCCATTGTAAATAAGACAGAATCCTCCCTTTTTATATTCAATATTTCAGCAATAATCCCACTGCAAAGGCTCTGCAGAAACAGAAGTAATAATGGGATATTGGTGGCATTTTCAGAAATACATATTATCACTTTAATTATTTTTGGAATGCCAGAAATGTCAAGAAGAGCATCAATTTTTACTTTCAGAAGTGCAAATCTAATTCTGGAAGGGTCTCAGGTCCAGTGTTTATAAAAAGAACTCTGAATTGGAGGTTTAGAGAAAGACCTATCAACACTTTAAGAACGTTTTGGTGCTTTTATTATTCTAAATTACAAGGATTATCCCTATATACTGTATGCTAAGGTCACAGCAAGGTGACGCCTCAGGCATGTTATGTGATGTTTCTTTAATTTGCAACTGTGCAACTGGTTCCAACTAGCTCTTATGGGAGCCTCTTAAAAGGTGCAGCTCCCCAGAGCAACTGTTAATTGTTTGCCTTAAGAGCTTGTTGGAAGCATGAAATGAAGTTTTAGGTTAAGGTAAGCTTCAAAAGATATCCAATCCAAAGACCCTTAGTTCAGTAGAAGGACTTCCATCAAGCAATGCAAAGGTCTTGATTTTAGGAGTTTTAGTGCTATCTTGCATCCCACCTCCTTAATCTTAGTAGGCACCACAGCCTGTAAGCATTTTGGTAACAAGTTTCTCAACACAGCTTCCGAGAGCAACACTACCTCTTAAAAATCACTGCATAGTCTGCTCCTTACAGAGCTGAAATAATCACAAAATGCACCTCTTTCCCCTGCTTTGGCCACTTCACTTCAGAGATAGCTTAGACTGGGAAATGAAATTCACCCAGGAAGCTGAAAAGATCAGAGTTCTTCTGAAGACCATGGAAAAACTGGTGCCCACAGTACTGCCCTGGGATCGTCAGGTTTTAACTGTAAGGCAACTGTACAGCAATGAAAGAAATCAATGTTTCCAATGTCTATGCATTAAAATCAGGGTGCAAATAAGAATGGGTACTTACAATATAGCAGGGTTCACAGTAGGCTTTCTTCTCCACTGCGTAGAAAGGCTGTCCCCTCAGCTTGTTGTTGCACATCATGCAGGTGAAGCACTCCACGTGGAAGACCTGGTCCATGGCCGTGCAGCCAGTGCCTTCCCCAACAACATTCTCCCCACAGCGGGCACAGCGGCCTGTCACCAAAGGGAAAGGACATAAGTCAAAGCAAGCTCCTGGTCTCAACTGCAGAGAAGGTCCTCCTGCACACCTGTGCTGCATAGCAAGTAAGGGGGACACGGCAGCTCAGTCAACGGAAGAGCAATTTGTGCCACTACTGGCAAAGATCTAGTGCCACTGGAAGGCACTCTGGCGCTGGCCCACCTGAAAAGATCTAGAAAGGCTTGAAACTGGCTCCTAAGACTGCACTGATATCAATTCTACTGCTGCTAGCCAGTGATTATCATAAGGAGTCTAAGCCCCAGATGCAAACCATTTAGCTATCATCTAGCCCAGCTATATAGTCATCCTCAGCTCCTCAGTTAGATGGGATAAACCTGTGCCTAAAGCCTTGCCTCCACATGAAAGGATTTTGTGGTAGGATGCCTCATAAAGCTGCCTGGTGGCAGTGCAATTGTTACCATTTAAAGAGTAGTTTTTGCTTGTACAGCTTAAACCAATTCTCTCAATGGAGCCAATTATACTGGCAAAAGGATTTAACTTTTTACGCTTTTGCCAGTATAGCAGTATCATTCCTCACGCTCTTGCTAACGTGCTGATGCTGAGCTAGTTGATATTTTAAATAAAAAGTAATAGCTAAAGACTGAGTGATTACAAAGAGTGCAATATCATCTCTTACATGGAAAAATGACTTTTTTCTGTTTGAAGATTAATACGGATTAAGATATTGTGTCTTTTTAAAGCACAGAAACTATTCCTCAAGAAACTGATGTGTGGATACTTTACTCTTACCATACTTCAAGAAAGGTGTATCAGAAGCTGCTAGTAAGGACTCTAAGTAAAGACAAGCCCTGAGAGCTCTGGCTGCTTCTGAAAAAGGTCCCTAATGCCACATATAAATACATAACACACAAAAAATTTGTACACACACACACGTACAAAAGGCTTGCTGCCTTGTTCAGATTGTTGTTGAAAATGTTATGTAGCAGGTAGATTTAAAGTGAAGACAGGATTTCAGAGAGAGAGAAAGAGGGTTTCTTAGATCATGGGAAAGACATTTTCCTAGTGAAGATTATGGTGCAGAGATGATGGAAGAGGGTGGGTGGAAGGCACACCTTTGCAATTTCCCTCTGCCATTCGAGTTCTAGAATATCCCATGCAGGTCTGATGTGCAATCAGTGTTGAAAATAATTCATGCACAGAGTCATGGAAGGTATTTAGGACAACCTCAGCCACCCTACGCAGGAGAGCCCCACCGAAGGCAACAGAGCAACTATGGTCTGGGGCTTTGTCCCACTCAAAATGGGAATTTTCAAATCTCCAGTTTGAGAATAACTGTGGTGTCCCCAGTCTTGGGACCCTGCACTTCTCCTTCAAGGTTCTGTGGGTGGAGTGGTGTGGTTGCTGACGGTTGGAAGGAGAGGAAGGGAAGCGAGAGCTGAGGTGCAAGCAGGAAGGCAGACTGACTTCAAAATAGAATTACTTATAAATGTGTACACAAATAACATGTCCCTAATAATAATTAAATAATCCAGCAACGATATGATGTTCTCTCATACCACGGTCTGTGTTAATTGGCCTTTTCAAACAAATACTGCAAAACTTCCTAAAACGACTTGGACATGCCTTGTCATCCCAACAGCAGGGCTGCTGTCCTTGCGCAGTGCAACATCAATGTCCCCGCACTCATGACCTCTTTCCTGCCTGTCCCAGACTCCAATAGGCTACATCCAGGGAACAAAGCATGTAAGCTACTTTTGGATCCCTCAGGATGCGGCAGGATGATATATATACACATTTGAGATATATTAGGAAAGCTTGGAAAAGAACCCAGTTCATTCTGATTTGCTACAACGGCATAACCATAGTTGGCATTATACAGGACAGACAGTTCCTGACTCAAACAGCTCCCAGTCTGAGCAATGTGGTGAGAGAAGTCACCAGATAAATCCAGACAAGCCTGGAACCCCCCCAAAAAGGAATTAATAATGTTGTTTTTACACTTAACTTTCTTTAGCATTTGTTATTAGCATTTTGCTTGACAGTGTTGTGCTTTAATCACTCCACTGTAACGCTTCTTGTGAGGACTCCTTTTTTACGAGCAGAGAAGGAATGCAGGGTTCCCAGCATGGTGGTGAGGCTACAGAGCACGGGGGAAGAATGGAAAAAACCATGAGGACTAGGAAGAAGAAAAAAAAAATTCCCACTGGAGAGAAACACGGCTGCAGTACTGCTCTGGGAAGGAGGCAGAAGAAACCTACTGTATACACCACAGGAGTTGCACGTACAACAGGAGAGCAGTGCTTGGTCCTGCGTGTGGACAAGACCGAGCGTGCTCCGGAGCCTTCTCCAAACTGCTCCTGTAGCTGGGCTGTAATATGAAGAGACGTCTGGGGAGCAGTTAATATCTCTCTATATAAAACATGAAATTGAAAGCCATTAGTGTATTACTTTACACAGTGTTTTTCCAGAGGGAATATTCTGCTGAAGAATTTATTTTCCCTGGTGTGCCGTTCTGTGATGATCCGGTATTATTTTTATGAGGCATTTGGACATGGAATAATGTAGTGTCTATGCAAACACTTCTCAGCTTTCTTTGTTAACATCTGAGTAGAACATGTGGGAATCTTTTCTTCCCCTCCTCCTCTTCTCACATTCATAATTTAGCCAGCTCTTGTATACTTCAACTTTTATCTTCCTCTTTGACCCAGGCATCTCTCCATTTGCTGGAGAAGCTGTCTATATGTAGACCATACTTCTGGCTGTACTTTCTGTGTCAGGAGGCTTGGGTCTGTTACCTAACTCAAATATATACTCTTGTAATCTCTGGCAGATCACTCGGTGCCTTTGTACCTCCATCCTCTCTTTGAGCAAAGGGCATAAAGATATCTTCTCTGCCTCCCAAAGGTGCCCTGAGGCTACATTCCTGCACGGCTCCGAGGCATTCCCCAACTACACTGCTGGTGGCCAGGTACAAACCAAAAAGCAGCACAACAGAAGTCTTGGCCAACTTCTCCCCTTGAAGTTGGTATTTCCTTAGGCTTTCCTTCCTCTTTCTGGGTTTTTCCACAGAAGATTCCCATTCAGGCAGCGACATACTTAACCCATCTACATTTATGAGAAGTCCAGCTTCTGCTATTATAGACACAGACAGAAATGCTCCTGTAAACTCTCGAACATGAAAGCTTAAAGAAAGCTTCCTTTTTCATAAGTTTATATGCAAATTGTAACACTGTGGCCTGGAGCAAACCATGTTTTTCATGAGACATGGCCATTCCAGTGAGAATCAAAACACAAGCTCTATGCCTAGCACCACCCCCAACTGACTCACTCTCCCGAAGGGTAAAAGCAAGTAAGCCAAAATATTCAAATTTGGGAGCTTACAGTTAGGTGACTCGATCCACGTAAAGGCATGCGGGCAAATACACAACCGATCTGGCTTGCAGTGATGTGGCCGTTAGAGGCTGCACCTTCTGCAGACTTCGGTACAACCTGGGAACTCACAAGATTTGCGTAAAACCAGGTCTCTTCGCCCGACTCCTGCACCTCGCTCAAATTTGGTTGAAAATGCCTATTAGTTTCCCAGGTTATTGGTGAGGGAGGAACTAACAAACAGACAGGCACATGCACACAGGCAGTGTGATTGCACAAGCCTCATTTCCTTAGAAAACCAGAAAAACCCCACTAAAAACAATGTCTCTATCATTATGTCTGATAAAAACGAATCAAAGGTCTGCTTTTCCTGTGTGCCAATTACCAACGGCAAAGGTATTTGTGTTCGGATTCACCAGTTAAGTGCCCACACATGTTCCCCATTTTAATATTTTCACACTGGTTGAAATAACCCAGTCCGTTGTGTGCAGAATACCCATGAGTGAATACAGAACAAGTTGCACTGCTTATTGGGAAAGAAGTAGCAAAGGCAAAGCTTGCAAGACTCAAGAACAAACAGATTGCACAAAAAAGATTACACAAATAATCTAAGAGAAAAATAGCAGGCAGTGTATTACAGTAGAAACATAGAACAACGTGACCCATTTGCTTCCCACAGAGACAAACAGCACTTAAAAGGCAGCTTAAAGACAAAGGACAAAATTAGTACTAAACTGCATGAAGATGAAACTATGTCATTTCAACATTCTTCTTTTGCCCCTTCAGCCCTTTTTAGGTCCTTTTTCAAGATCATTTCAGCAAAACTAGAAGGTGATACGTTGGCAGCAAGCCTGGGAGACTGGGGTCCTCTGTTTTTGCATGAAAGAGGTTCATGACTTTGGCCGTGACCTTCCTTCAGCCTAGCCTGGCTGCCACATGTTGGTCTTACCTTGGGGCGACATACAGAGGTGACCACAGAGGCTTCCCTGCTGAAACTGCTGGAAATGCCATCATTACTGAGTTGGATCACAGGGAAACACTTCAGCAGCTGAAAGGAAACATCAGCTACTACACTTTATTCTGAAACCTCCTCATTTACTGTGTTCTGTTGTATAAAAAATTTGAAATATTGTGAATCTGAAGGAAGAGGGGGAAGGGAGGAGAGGAACTCATATTGCACATGATGCCATGTTCTAACTTCTCGTTATTTTATTACTATTATTTCATGTTTTTTGCTTATACCACCACAGATCCTGGCTGCTCAGATTGTGGAACTGCCCCATTGTGCTGGGTATTGGACAAACACAGAATATAAAGAAGGGCCCAACTGAAGGAATTTACAATCTAATACAAGCAATAACAACTGGGTATAGATAGGAAATACAAAGAAGCAATCAGACAAAACCGGTCAGCAAGGAAAATTGTGGTCTTGGCACTCTAAATGTTTTACTGTTGACAAGGAGTCTGTAGACAGCCCAGCAAGGGAAAAGGTTAAAGAAGAATTTGAAAGAGGATCCAGAGGGAGTTTGAGGGAAGTTTAATGGGATGCTTCTGAGGAAAGGACAAAGACAGCACAAAAGGGTATGTAAGTGCTTGAAGACTGAACACAGACACCTGCAGATGGGAAGGATGAGTTGATACAACA